TGCTTAGTCCTTTCATGAAACACTGGATTTTCTGCTATGTGTAAAGCTGACTTGTTGTCACAAAAGAGAGGAATTGGAAGAGGTACCTGGACTCCCATTTCCAAAAGTAAGTTTCTAAGCCATTGCACTTCACAGACTACCTGTGCCAAGGCCCTGTATTCAGCTTCAGAGGATGACCTTGACACTGTTGTCTGTTTCTTAGTCTTCCAGGTGATCAATGAGGTGCCAAGGAAGGTACAATAACCTGTTAGTGACCTCCTTGAATCAGGGCAGCTTGCCCAATCTGCATCACAGAAACCTTGCAGTTCCAGTTTTGCATCAGCCCTGAACATCAGACCTTGTCCAGGGGTTTGTTTTAAGTACCTGATTACTCTGTGAGCAGCTTGTAGATGCTCTACACGAGGAGTGGCCTGAAACTGTGCAAGTTGTTGAATTGCATAAGTTATGTCTGGTCTGGTAATGGTAAGGTAGTGTAGTCTGCCAATCAATCTCCTGTAAACAATGGCATCTGGTAGGGGCTCTCCTTGAGTAGATGAAAGTTTCACATTGCAATCCACAGGAGTCAAACAACCTTTAGCTTCAAGAAATCCTGTGTCAGTCACCAACTCAAGACAATACTTCTTCTGACTCAAAGAGATTCCTTTGTGATCTCTTAACACTTCCAAACCCAGAAAATAACTCATTTGACCAAGGTCCTTAACTTTAAACTCTTTACTTAGGAAGTTTTTCAACTGTTCAATATCTCCTAAGTAACTCCCAGCAATCAGTATGTTATCAACATACACCAAAACAACAACCACTCTCCCTTGTATCCATCTGACAAACATAGAGTAATCAGAAGCAGTTTGAGAAAATCCATTCTTCATTAATGCAGTGGTTAGCTTAGCAAACCATTGCCTACTTGCCTGCTTGAGGCCATATAGAGACTTCTTAAGTCTATAAACCAAACCCTGGTCTCTTGGAACATTAGCAGCAGGTGGAATTTCTAGGTAGACTTCTTCTTCCAAATCACCATGTAAAAAGGCATTGGACACATTCATTTGATGTATGTGCCAATCCTTGGAAGCAGCAACTGATAGAAGTGTCTTGACTGAATTGATTTTGGCCACAGGGGAGTAAGTGTCCAAAAAATCGATTCCATATATCTGAGTATAGCCTTTAGCTACAACTCTAGACTTAAATCTTTCAATAGTCCCATCAGACTTGTGTTTGATTTTGAATACCCACTTAGATCCCACAGCCTTCTTTCCCTTTGGTAACTTTACCACTTCCCAGGTCTCATTTTCTTCAAGTGCTGCTAATTCTTCATTACAAGCTTGATTCCACCTGGGATCTTTGCAAGCTTCTGCATAAGATGTAGGTTCTTCATTCAACATGACACTCATGGCAAAGGCTCTTTGAGAAGGGGAAAGCTGCTCATAGGAAAAATGCTGCCAGACATGATGCCTAGAGCAGGAAGCTGCAATGTTGAAATGATAATCTTTATGCCAGGTTGGCACAGTTCTAATCCTTGAAGATTTTCTGAGAAATTCAGCTTCATCAGTGTCATGTGGATCAGGGAAAACCTCTATCTCTGCATCCTCCCCCCCAGAATGCAAATCATGCACAGTAGATGGTGAAGCATTAGGAGTGGAATGTGTGTGAAAAGGCATGGAAGCATTCTGAGGAGTGGAAGAAGATGAAGAAGGGTCAGCAGGAGAAGGTACAGAGACTGGTGAAGGTGTGGGAATAGGAAGAGAAGAGAACGTGGGTGTAATAGGGTCTGGAATTGGTGGTGGAGATTGAGAAGTGGAATCTGTGATAGAGAAAGGAAATATGGTTTCATAGAAAGTGACATCACGAGAAACAAAGAAAGAATGGGAATTGATGTCATAGAGCTTGTAGCCCTTAATTCCTGAGGGATAGCTAAGAAATATGCATTGCCTGGCTCTACTATCAAATTTAGTCCTATCCCTATGCAGTGTAGCAGCATAACACAGACATCCAAACACTCTTAGACCAGACAAGCTAGGAGGTTTGTTGTATAAACACTCATAGGGAGACTTGTTACCAATTACTGATGAAGGAATTCGATTTATAAGATAGACAGAATGGAGGATACAATCACTCCAAAACTGCAAAGGCACTCCTGACTGAAATCTGAGAGATCTAGCCACATTCAAGATGTGTTGATGCTTTCTCTCAACCCTGGCATTCTGCTCAGGGGTTTCAACACATGATAACTGATGTACAATGCCATTTGCTGTGTAAAAATCAACCATATGGAACTCATTCCCCTGATCACTTCGAATAATTTTGACACTCTTGTCAAACTGTTTAGCAACCATCACACAAAAAGATTCCAGTGATGAACTTGCTTCAGATTTGTACTTCATAAGATAGGTCCATACACCTCTAGAGTAATCATCTACTATAGTAAGAAAGTAGGAATAGCCATCATGGGATCTAACAGCAAGGGGACCCCATATGTCTACATGAATGAGTTCAAATGCTTCTTGAGCATGACTGGAACTAACAGTAAATGGAAGCCTTTTGTGTTTGGTAAAGTGACAAGTTTGACAGTGCGAAACTGAGGTCCTATTACAAGGTACTAAGAGTTTTTCCTTCTCTCTATTGAGATGTCCTAGCCTCCAGTGCCATAGCTCAATGTTGTGTGGGGAGAAATTTTAGGTAGCAGCTGCTTGTGGTGTTTGAGGAAGGGAAGAAGTCTTGAAGATAAGTTGGTAAAGCCCTTTAATCTGTTTTGCCAAACCAGTCCTGCTGTGGGTCATGAGGTCCTGAATTTGGCAAGAATCAGATTCAAAGTGTAAGGAAATAGGAAGGTCATTGGTAAGCTTGCTAACTGAAACAAGGTTAAAAGAAAAGCTAGGCACAAGGAGGACATTCTCTAAAATGAGGCCAGTAGGAAGTTTAACTCTACCAATGTGACTCACAGCCACTTTGGTTCTAGTAGGTAAGAAAACAAATTGGTCTACAGCTGGTGTAGATTCAATGAATAAGGATAAACTGCAGGCAATGTGGTCTGAAGCCCCAGTATCAAGTATCCATATCCCTAGGAGAGAATCACATTGGTGCTATAAGTAAGAAGAAAGAACATACTTACCAGCACTGTTAGGGAAGTGAGGAATGTGCTGTGCAACAGAAAATGCATGATGATTTATGGATGGAGATGTAGGTGGAGAAGGACTGGGTGAGGAAGTAACAGTTTGTAGCAGAAACTTGAGCTTGTTAAGCTCTTCTGATGATAGACCAAGGCTGCCAATGCTGTTATGTGACTGCCTTGTGTCAACAGTTGACTTAGAGTCAGAAACAGAACTGTCACTGTGTGTAGAAGAGTCACCTTGTGACACTGCTGCTACAATATTTCCTCCACCCATTCTAGCTTTCTTGTTCTTCAGCCTGTAGCAGTCTTCTATGTTATGGTTCTCTTGCTTGCAATATCTACAGAATTTCTTCCCATCAGACCCTCCACCAGTTTTGTTTTGGTTACCAGGAGAGCCTGCCACTGCAAGAGCCACTGCTTGAATACCCTTCGTTGTACCCTTATCCCCCTTGATCTTTTGCTCATGCTGAAGCAAATCATTTACAGCAGCATCCACACTTGGAAGTGGTTTCATCATTAGGAGTTGTGTATGAACAACATCATACTCTGGCCTCAGACCCTTGAGAAATCGAATGAGGTATTCTACCTCCTGTTTTTGTTTAAAAGATTCAACTACAGGACAAGGACGAACTCTAGGAACCACACAGTCACACTCAACAATAGGGTTAAACTGTAGATTTTCTTCCCATAACCCTTTGAAAGCTGTATAATACTGAGTAATATTGAGGGTTCCTTGTTTACAAGCTATGATCTGGTCTTGCAGGTGTGCCAGCTTGATGGCATTAGGAAGTCCAAACCTCCTCTTAAGTTCATCCCACAGATTCTGTGCATTCTCATGCTGCATAACACTTCTTCGATTTCTCAACAGAATTCAAAATCCAGCACAATACAAGTGTATTACAATCATCCCACACTCCATAATTAGCATCATCCACACTGGGCATAAGAATAGACCCATCTATGAAACCAATCTTATGCTTGGTTTTCAAAGCCATGCGAATAGCACGCTGCCACATCTGGTAATTTGGACCATCTAGGTTCTCAGACACAATCGATTGAGAAATGTTTTCATTTGGGTTTATGTAAAATGGGTTACCAAATTGTAGATCTGGGCGTCCTGAGTTGCCATTGTTGCCGTTGCTCGTGGTTCCAGACTGAGGGTTGAATGATCCGAAGGGAATCGTGTTACCACCAGTGAAAGGAGACCCAGGAGATGATGAGTTAGACATTGTGAAAAGGATTTGGATCTCAGTCCAGCTCTGATACCATATAGAAAAGCTCCTTGAGCTTAGGGTTTTACGAAAGAAGAAGAAGAAAAAGATAGGCGGTATCAATTTGGGACAAACCCGCAAAGGGATCCTTTCTCCATCATTTCATATATATATGAGTCTCAGCTGTGAATTACAAGCAAACAGTAAAACTGGAAATTGGAAGTTAAACGGAAATACAAAATAAAGCATTAAAACAAAGCCAGGTGTCTTCTTGTTGTTGGCTCTTCAAAACTCCACCCAACGGTAAACCTTAGACTCCACGACGCTGTTTTGTCCTTCGTTTAAGTTGAGTGGAAGGGGAGGCAGAAACGTTTCGTTTCTGCCTCTGTTCTTCAATGCTATGTTCTTCACAAACAACACCAGCAATCAGCAAGCAACATCAATGAGATGAATTCTCATTCTTCAATTTCCAGTTCAGATAACGGCGCCGTTCTCATGACTCTCTGGTTGTTCCCCTGGTACATTAGAAGGCCGAAGAGCGCCACCACAACGTTCTTCTTCCCGCAGGGGTTTCCATTCTTGATAAGCAAAATCAGCCCTGGGATTGCTTCCGGAGTTTCCCCGATCAACTTTCTGTATCCTTTCATCGACGACAGGTAAAAAATCGTCGCCGCCGCGATTTGCTTTTACTCCAAAATGAATCTGTTTTTCAGTACGGCTACAATTGATCGAATTCCATCATTCTCGATGATTGCCCTCTTCCCGCCGGCGTGCTTCGAGAGCTTCAACAGGGCTGCAGTGGCGTTCTCTTGAGCGGTCGTCTTCTTCTTCCCCGATGAAAAGGAATTCAGGAGGTTTAGCAGGGGGAGAATTACCCCTACTTGAATCAAACACCCTCTGTTGAAGATGTTGGATTTGGAAAGCAATCGTACCTCGTACGCCGCCTTGTTCTTCTCCTTTGCCGTTCCGAAGACCAGCATCCTAGCAAGAAACCACCGTCATTTGTGGTCAAGAATGCGGCGGCGGAGAACAGTAGAAAGGATTCTCCGTTCGTTCTTAATTTTACTAATTTATAATTTTATTTTTATATTTTTAATAATTAGAAATGAGGTGGAAATTTAAAAAAAATTATTTTTTATTTATTTAATTGCCACGTCACACATTTAACGGTCAACTTTTAGAGTTAACTGCCACATTTGCAAAATTTACTGGAGTTGGACGAAGAGTGACCAAACGTGAATGGTTTGAGTAAACTGAAGTACCACCAATGAATTTAAATATTTCGAGTGACCAAACTTGAACGTTTTTCGTCATCTCAGTGACCAACCATGCAATTAACCCATATTTCATCCTTTGACTCAATCAACCATCAGCCAGGAGCGTATGGTCTGGTCAGACATTCCTCCCTTCCTTTTCGCTACTTCTTCTTCCTCCTACCTTACACGTTAATGACCGTCACTTTTTCGTTGCGGCCGACTTTTTTGACTGTCTTTTAATGATAGAGCCAAAAATTCGAACAAAAGAGACATTATTTAAATTGTCATAATTAAATGAGGAGGCGAAAAATTACTTTCATGTTATTGTGAATGTACCTCTGTTGTGACAACTCTACTCCCACCACACAAAAAAAAACCATAAACAGGTCCTAAACTTTTCACATATTGGGGTTTTTCCTACCATAAAAATGATAGGAGGAAATAGCTCCACTGCTAAAAAATGGGTTTTCCACTTCAACCCCTCCTAATCTTTGCCCATTTGTACATTTGAGTAATTTGGGAACCTTAGAGAACAAACTCCGTGCAAAAGCAAGAAATTACTATCATTGCGATTATGTAACACGATAGCAGAGTTTGGTTGGATTTTAAAGGATGTGGTATCTTTTTTTTTTTACAAGAGATCATCTTCATTGATCAGAAAAATAGATAGTTACATCCTGGACAAAAGCCAGGTATTGAAATCAAAAGAACGACTCATGGCCGGGTACAAAGAGAGGGCTTTACGAGCCACCAAATGGGCTACTCTATTACTACGCCGACCTACAAATCGAACACTGAACCTTGACTGACTAGCAAAATGATGAACAACTTCAGCAAGAATAGCCCCCACCCGATTATCCCTGATGTCTGCCTGCTGTATCTTATCAATAATAACCTTAGCATCTCCCTCAAAACATACCTCCATGATACCCCGATCTAGACACCACACAACAGCTTCGCGGAGGGCCATCATCTCCACAACCATAGGGTCCTTAATACCAGGGAATTGAAAGCCCGCAGCCATTAGGATTTTCCTAGTTGGGGTCATAATAACCATCCCCCGCCGAATGAGACCCCCTCTTAGTGGTATCAAAGAAAAGAAAACATCACATTTTCTGGGCTCGGCCTTCATGTTCAGTTCTCTCACCCTCGGGCCACCCAAACTTAGAAGCCGGATACCCTTTCAGCGCAATTGATTGACTAGCCCAACAAAACCTGAGCTTGCTGAGGCTGAAATCCCGAAATGGCAATGGGCGGGTTTGGGGCGGGTTTCCTTAAACCATCCCCATACCCATCTTCAAATATCCAAACCCATACCCGCTCCATACCCATGCGGGGAATGTTTTGCAAACACATCCTCATACCCGTGGATTTCGGGTACTCATGGGTAATACCCATACTCGTACATCCAACATTATTATACCTAAAACTTACAAGAAAAGTTCTAATTATAATTCTAAACGAACATATAATATCATGAAGTCAATAAAACACGGTCATTTTTTTAATATGGTTCAAAGATTATGATCCTAAAATATCCATTAATACATAATATAGAGTATAATATTTTTCAAATTATAATGTTTTAACTCTGATACATCTACTAAATAATAATTAACTAACATAATCTTGTTGACAAGGGGGAAAGTGAAAGAGTGAAATGAGAATTGAGAGAAATGAATTAGATTTTGATTAAGGTGGTCAATCAATTGCATTTCTACTATTTATTTTCTCAAGTTATCCTCATCGTCATTGATAGATTATAATTTGATGCACATATTTTTTTTATATATGAAGAAATTATCTTGGTGGGGCGGGTATGGGGCGGGGGAGGCTAAAACCATACCCGCCCCCATAGCCATCAAACTTTTTGCGGGTTTTCCCCATACCCGCCCCATACCCGGTCAAAGTGAGGATTCCCCGCATTGACTGGGTCGGGGGCGATCGGATACCCGCGACCATAGGTTTGATTGCCATACCTAAAACAGAGGACCTTAGGTTTCTCCACTTCAACCCTCTTGTAGTTGGACCTCGGTTTCTCAGCTTAATAGTTGTTTAATTAACAGAGTTCTCCCCCACCAGGGTCAATCCATTCAGCTTGGACTTTGTTGTCGTTTTTGGGGTGTGCAACGGTCTAAATCCGTACCGTACCAAATCAACACATGGATTGGATCATACCGAACATAATATAATGAGGTTTAGTCCTTTGCCCAACGAATTTTATAAATACTTGAAAAAAAAATGAACATATTTGCCATTTGGATCGGACCAATCAAACATAATGCAGTATTAGTTCGATTCTTAATTCTGAAATTTCTTTCATCATTGAATCGCGGTTTTCAACCTGACCGTTCCAAAGCCTAGCGTTTCACCCATATAATTGGATTTTCTTTCAATCTCGTTAAAGTGAAAAGCCCGTTAAAGTTTTAATGGTCCGAGTCATCAGGCCCATGGCTTTCAGCCTCTCACCATTCTGACTTCGGAGGCCGGGTCTTAAGGCTGTAATGAAGCCCAATCCGACCGATTCATTTGTAACAAAGCCCAAATCGGTTCTTCAGGTGTATCTTCAATGCTTTGGGCTTTGGCTATCAAGGGTGGAATGATCTCATGTCTCGCAACTTCTAGATGGTGAATTGGTGATCCTCTTTAACATTTCACGATCTTACGTTTACAATATAGAGAGAATGTATATTGTCTAGTAAAAGTAGTAGTTACCAGAAAATGTTGGGATGGTGGTGGATTCAGGAATCCACAGATTTCCAAAGGTGATTTGACGCCAAAGTTAATGCAACTTTTTGGCTTTCCCATTCCCTTGAATGACGTTTTTTTTTTTTTTTGAAAGTTAATAAATGAGATATTGGGATGGGACTGTACGTGGGCACGGGGTCATGCCGCCCACGATCTAGCATGGCACGGTACGGTTAGAGCATGGCACGAGCATGGACACGAAATAAATGGGTTTTATGTGTCGTGGCGGGTCTAAACTTCATGGCACGGGCACGAGCACGGGCACACCACGGTATATAAGTGGGTCGTGTCGGGCCTAATATTTTCGAGACTTTATTGAATATAAGAACAAATATGGCACGAAAATAGAATTTATTTGATAGAAAATAAATATAAAAAGAATTATTTGTTGTTTTTAAAAGTGTCATAAAGATATATACGTAATTACTAACATAGCCAATTCACACGATCTTACGTTCAAATATCACAAAACCCAATTAGAAAAATAATTATTTGTTGTTTTTAAAAGTGTCATAAAGATATATACTTAATTACTAACATAAGTAAAAATGGACAAAGAATTAAACAAAGTCAAATCACACTCGCTATACTTCCAATTTTCTTTTCCCTCTTATTTGTTACTTTTCTCAAACATTATTGGTTAATATTATCTTCCTCCGTCCAATTTTCACCTTCTTTTTCATTCTCTCTTTTGTTTTCTTCATTTTCATTAAACATAAATACGAGCATGGCACGAGCACGAATAGGCACGATACGATTCAAACCATGCCCGGGCCAGGATCCGGCCTAGCAAAGTTAACAAATGGGCTTGCATGGCACGACACGAAAACTGACGCCCCGTGCCAAGTACGACACAAAATAAATGGGCCTGAAGCGTGCCCGTGCTGTGCCGGCCCAAACACGGCCCAACGCCCATGTACAAATGGAACTTGGGAGTGATATCTGATATCATCCAACTCTGCTCTCGCAACATCATTTTATATTCATTTTACTTCTTTTTCTCGTTAAATTAAAATGTAGATAATTTCTCGATTTTTGCGGGTCATTCTTGCGTAGGGTTCATGTTAATCTTCTATATATCGTTCCAATTTTATCAGATGTCTCCAAGGAGACGAAAAAATTTTATTTTTATTTTTCAACAGTACCATCATAACATTTTTTTTATAACCCAGTAACCTCAACCCCACATGCCACTTTGTGACCGCGTGATCTACTAAACCTGGAGCGCACCTGTACAAGAAACAACATCGGGAGACTTCGTCCCCGGCACTCAGGCATGCCTCCGAGAAAACACAAACGGCGTCGCTGGGGATCGAACTTAGGATCTCTCACATCCTGAGCCAAGGTGGCAATTTCGTGACGGGCCACTGTTTCATTGGCGAAACTCGCGCGTTCAATGCGCTCTGTTTTCAAGGAAACAAAAATACAAAGTCAACACAATCGTCAAATATCCGCCGCCGAAGTCGGCGCCGTTGATTTGATCGATTAAAGCAGAAACCAAGACGATCGTCGATATGCGCCGCCGGTATCGGCGTCGTTGATTTGATCGATGCACCTTTGACCTCTAATCAAACAACCGTTACTCGGTTCACCACCTCTCCAAACTACGTTCGAACGAGGGTGTTCAACGAGAAACGAGAAACCAAACCGAGAGTATTCTGAGTTACGTTACCTCTACTCCTATGGAGGTTCCTCTGGAGAGCTCCGCGACTACGACTACAAGCTACGACTCTGCAAAGGAGTTCTTTGACAGAGCGGTTCTACAAAACTAGAGAGAAAAAAGATAAATCTGCGTAGGTGCAGTTTGTGATTTGATTTTGCCGTCCCCAACTTCTCTCTCTTCCCAATCTTTATACTTCGCGCTTCTCCTCGTCGTAGTAACCGCCTTCGCGCCTTTGTCTCCCACGTCTTCACTCCTGTCAACCGTGCAGGTAACTTCCTCCTTGTTGCGTAACTCCCACGAGTGCGAAACCGCT